ACAACAAAGTAAAATTTGATGAAGAAATTGCAAAAATCAGAATATAACAAGCAGTTAACAAATAAATGAGTCCTTCCTTAATTGTATCTGGTCTGATAATTCTGCTCATGACCTCGTAGGTTTCGATGTGGTCCATCCACAAATCCTACAAAATCATCCGTTTTTTGATGGTGTTTCATAAAATCAAAAATAATCTGGTGCAGTCTCATCTTCCAAGACCAATGTTTAGGTCATGGTGACCAGAAATGTGCAAACTTAACCGTTTCATTAAACAGTCTATTTATAGGCTCTTCCTGTTTCTCCAGCCATCTGTGTCCATTCAGCCTTTCCACTACTTTCCCCAGTAGTTTCACTTCCCCCATTCTCATCACATATTTCCAAACAAAACTTCATCAGGAAACAGATGAAGCATTTAGATGTTTGTTGAAACAGATTAAGACCTGAGCCAGTCTACAGAACAGCTAATGAGACAAAATATCTGGACCGTTTGTGCTTTTTTATACCCACTAAACATCACATAGACCTCCCTCTCTGTCCCCACCCATGTTACACGAGTGTATGGGGAGTGCACTCCTCATGTCCTGGTAGTCCTCATCACTATCAACAGCCTTGGTAAGTGATGTTTATTCCAGGCCCAGAGCCAAACGACAAACCAGTTGGGTAAAACAAGCCTGCTGCTTGACAACATCTGGGGTCATGTTGAAGCACACATAAATTGAGCAATTCTTTTTTGTGGAAACTTGTGGTGCAGAGACAATGCTCTACGATACCTCTGGCACAAATTCACATATTTAGGAGATTAGCAAACATTTGTTTTCTATGAATGTGAGCTTGGGGGTTTATGTTGTGTCAGCATTTAGCAGTTAATGTCAAACTCAAGTGGGTGACTTCAAGTCTGTTAAAGAAATGATTTTGCCACATTTCCATTTTAAACGAAGCGTTGTTCATAGAAATCTATTTTAACCTTCAGAAAAGTAAAAAAAAAACAACTCTTTTTCTTTGGCAGGAAACTGAGTGAGGAGCGACCTCATGTCATGCTGAACCAGTTTCCCTGTGAGAGCATTATCACAGTGAAGGACTGTCTGGCTGCCGTGGCTCGCAGGGTGAAAGGTGGCCCAGCACCGGACTGGCTCCCAGAGACCTTCAACCTGCAGACAGAGCTGCCGCAGTTCATCAAGAATTATCAGCTGAGACAGCAGAGGTTGGGCTCATGTTCTCACTGAGCTTGTTCTATGGCAAATCATAGTTTAATATCAGTCAGCAGGCCCTAAACCAGATTATGTATGCTAGTAGTATATTACTAGAGAAAAGTCCACAGTTGGTGCAGCAGCACCTGAGGATGGAGTGAAACATTTTCCTCATCGTTAATGATATGCCTCTGGCTCAGAGCAGTCCTTTGAGGCTACATAAAAGACGTCTGTATGTTTCAGGGAAGAAGACAACCACTGGATCTGTAAACCCTGGAACCTGGCTCGTGGACTGGACACACACATCACCAACAGTCTGGACTACATAATCAGACAGAGGGAGAGTACGCCAAAGGTGCCAGCACACACACGTACAGACAGACACTGAAGCACCATGTTTGTGCTAAGATGACTCAAAAATGCATCTTTTACTGCCTTTTAGGGCTCCAGTTTACACTAAATCCAACTTTTTTGTTATTCTTTTCAAGTAGAACTATACCATCCTCACTAGAGGTTGGGTAGCTTTACTCTGTCTTGGCTACTGCTGCAAGGAGCAGGTATTTGAGGCTGTAGAAGATCTAGTGTGGAAGACTTCAGCCACTCACAGGGCTCTTCACGCAGATCAGGTCTACAGTGAGAGTAGGATGGGGTCGCACAATGGCTTAAACGGACGACTTTTGAACCCTGCTCACTGGAGAGTCTTGTTCAAAGCCACAAGTGACTGTTCACTGTAACCTTAACTATGACTGCATTTGAAGTGTGTATATGCCTGTGCTTGTCTGGTGGGAGAGGAAGGAGGAAAACTGTAGGAGGAGGGTTGTGTATTCATACTTATTTGATCTGTCGGTCTGCTCAGGTCCTGTAGAGAGTGTGATGGGGAGGAGGAGGGCCTTCGGTTCAAGCGTGAGTCATCTATAGCTCACACAAGCCTTTACTAATACCTGTTTATGCTCAGTCTGTGATCTCAGCCCTTTGTAACTAATTCCTTGACAGTGCTGCCATTCAGCCGCACCTGCTTGGCGTCCAAAGGCTTTATCGATCTGTCTTGTAAGCTCAGTCCTGATACCTGACAACCTGGAATGTTTGCGGTGTAAATACTAATTCATAGTTTCCCCCAGCCATGTGCCCAGACCAGTACAGACTGAATGCACACAGTCAGACGCTACACAAATGGTCACATTACCCTTCATGTTGAACACATAGAACACATTGGGCTTCCTGTGATGTTTCTGAGGAGCTGGCTGGGGCATATTTTTTATAGGAAGTGGAGCGTAACACCATGTCAGAGATCATTTGTCAGGTATACCAAGTGCTGTGGAACAACCTGCACCCGGAGTTTGTTACCTTTCTGTTCCAAGACCAGCGCATAGCAAATGATTTCTTAAGAATTTAGAACCTTCTGCTGTGTTTGGGCTCTGACGATGGAAAGCAAATCGTAGCTCCTCTAAGTTACCGCAGCAACTGCTTTGGTAACATCGATTGTACTGATCAATTATAAAGGTGAATGTTCTGGACTGAAAGCTGGCTGTCATAGTAAAATAACCGACCAATCCCAGAGGGCTCCCCTCCCAGAGGGGCTGTTAGATATGACACCCCTATGTCACAGGGGGGTCAGGAAGTGGTCATGAGATGGTCAGGAGTTCTGTTCTGTTCTGAAAGTAGCAATGTTGCTATAGAACTATATGTATTTGTAGTTATACAAAGGTAAGCTTGTTGGAAATGAACATGTGTCACATTCAGTGCATCACAGGGTGTCTTATATGAGCTTGTTATCGATTACGGGTACAGAAATTATACAATGCTTAGGATATAGGATTATATACCAAGCTGATAAATTAAAGAAAGGTTAATACAATTATGATTACGTTTTGGAGTATTTATCAGGACATTATACTTCCACATTTAATAACAACTAAGCTTAACATGAGATAATAAGGCACATCCCCTGGTCCTGTGTCTTCATTGTCCATTCATAAGTTCAGTTGTTGCATGCCACAGGAAATGAGGGGTCAGCGGAGCAATACGTTAAGCCCGGGGCAATAGTTACACCAGGCCATCTGTTTAGGGCCGCGTGGTGGAATGTTTTCTTCGTCTTCCCCCAAAAGAATCTTTGTGTTATGATCCTTTGGGGCTCTGATTGGTGTGATAAGCTAATTTCCCAGTGGGCTCTGCTTGTCCTGGCTTCAGCTCCCCCGAGTCTCCAACGCTGATTTACATGATCCTGTGACCTGCAGGATAGTTCTGTCTTTTATAACATGTGGCTGTGAGCTAGAAAGTTCAAATGAAGTCTCTTGAATCGTTTTGGCATCTGTTCATATCCTACAACAGACAATGACTGCATTTGACCCACTGACTGTTGAGTTGGATTAAAAGGCAGGATGGAGGTCCCAGATAGACCTGACAAGCACTTTGATTAAAGCGTACTGAAGTATTGAGCCTGAAGGATAGAGTACTCAGTATATGTTAACTGAAAGGTCTTCTCTCTCAGGAGTTTGGCAAGCCTATGAAAAGGGACTTTGAGTTGGCCTCGAGAAGTTCTGGCAATCTTTCCATTGACCCATTATTGTAGAACTCTACAGCCAGTTCTTTTTCCCAGCAATCTGTCAAAAATGCTGGAGATGATGTATCAGGTCTATGAATCTCATGAACACATTGCCTACATTCTTATGTTCCAGGTGGTGTGTAAGTATCTTGAAGATCCGGTTCTGTTTAGCAGAGAGGAAGTGGGACTGGTGAAGTTTGACATTCGCTACATGCTGATGCTGCGTTCTGTCCAGCCTCTGCGTCTCTATGCCTACAATGTCTTCTGGTTGCGCTTTGCAAATAGGTAAGAATCACTCTCCTTCTGACCAACATGTCATTCCTCAGCAGTGAAGATGTTTGTGAATGCAAACACAGCATGAGGCTGGTTTCATTCTGTGAAGTATTTGATAATTTTTCAGAGAGGAAACATTCTTTGTTTCTTTTATCTAGACCTTTCTCCTTGGACCATTTGGATGATTACCAAAAGCACTTCACTGTCATGAACTATGCAGAGGGGGTGGAGCTTAAGCAGGTACTTTTATATTGTTCTTTTGCTGTTTAGCTTTGTTTTTTTTGTAAAATCAGTCTGTGGCCAGAGTCCTGTACCACAAAGCAGGATCTGAAGGTAGCGTGGTACCTTCAGGTTTGACAGGGTTATTACAGTGCTTCTTACTGGTGTACCTAACCTGCTCTGCAGCAGTTTGTCTTCAGGATAACGGATCACAACATACAAAAACACTGCATCCTGACCAGTCCCTGAAGTGAAGTAATGAGATGACATCCAACCTTGTGTGACTGCAGTTGTTTAGTAAAGCCGGATAACAGGTAGAGGGCGCTCAGTAGAGGGATAGAGTTGGCCCTGCTGCCCAGTGCAGTCATGGCCGGCATAGACCATTATTCTGTACAACTTACCACAAAATAGGTGATTTGTTTCACTAGTCATGGTTAGCTGGTTCTCCAAAGTGAAATGGGTACTACCCATGTATACATTACATGCTATTTAAAATATAATGGCAAAGTCAACATTTTTTGACTTGAAAAATCACCCAAGGTCAAATGTAGCATCACCAACAGGAAGCCCCAAAATGGTTGCTTGTCTCCACCAAATACCATAAATCTACCTCCCACCCTGTTGAAGGGAAAAAAGTGACCTTTAACCTCTAGTGGAGCTATTTTTTCATTAATTGACCCCAAAATAAAATCAAACCGAGGAGAGACCGTTCCTAGCTCACCTGTATGACATCACCTTGTAACACCTCAGCACTGGAGCTGGAGACTGTTCACAGAAAGACACACACACACACAGATGGTGTCGTCGTCAGGGGCAACTATAAAAAGACGTTGAAAAGATGCTGACCTTGCTTTGTTGTCCAGCCCTCTGCACTGCTCATTATGGTCTGTTGTCTCCTGGTCAACAGAAATGATCATGAGCTTTAGCTCGAGAACTTGATTGTCTTTCAACTGTACAGTATCTGCACAGGAGAAGGAAACTACACTGTGGCCTTTTAGTTCTGCTGGTCCTAACTGTTGTGGGTCGAGTAGTAACGGTTTAAATCGCTGTCTCCAGGTGCACTACGATGAGTTCATCCCTATGTTTGAGGAGCAGTACCCGCAGTACCCATGGAAAGAAGTGGAAGTAAGTGGAACTGTGAAGCCCTGTTCAGCTGCAGGAACAGAGCTCTGACACCTCCTGATGACACCTCTCGTCATCACAATGAGCAAATTTGGTGTGAATCAGACTGACAGTGATGCAGTGTGGTCCGAGCCTCGTCCAGAAAGTGAACTACGGCGGATGTTGTTTTTACAGCGTCGTTTCTGTTCTAATACACTTGTCTTTATTCTCATCTTCCTTTTCATTGTTTCTTCTCAGGCAGACTTGTTTAAAGCTTTCAAGGAGCTCTTCCAAGCAGCCTCGTCTCGACCGGCTCCCTGTGGGATTTGTCCCTACCCAGCGTCCCGGGCGATCTACGCTGTGGACCTCATGCTGAAGTGGAGTGCAGGACCAAATGGTGAGCATTCATTCCATACTTAACTCGTCACTGTTCTAAAGATACCTTTACTAATGTTTTGTCTTTGAGCTTCAGGGCGTTCGGGACTTAACCTAAACTGTTTCAGAGGCCACCACTTTTTCTGTCTCTCAGATGTCAACACTGAAGAGGTTTCAGCTCGTAAAGGTCCCTCGTGGCATTTCCTCTGGAAAATGAATTAGAGACACCAGCATGTTTAATACTGTAGCTCAGAGGTCTTCGTGGATTAGCTTAGATTCTAAGTCTAATTATCCACAGTGTTTCTGAAACAGGTCCAGTTGCTCTTGGGGTCAGTTGGGATCAGATGTCCAACACTCCACTTTAAAGACACATTAGATGGAGATAAGGACTATTCCAGTCCTAAAATACACTGTCGAAAAGGAAAAATGTTTTCGTGGTTAAAAGTAAGTGTGCCCTTTTTAGAGCAAGGGACGGGTCTTCTAAGACTGTTGTTTATTGAGTTGTGATGATTTGAAGGTGACGAAGAAATTCTCCACTGACACAGTCTTGTTGCTAAATAAAAAGGTTAATTGAAACAAGTACAACATCTCAGACGCCTGTGAGAGGATTCAAAGCCAAAAAGAATCACCGTCTAGAACAAACGCAACTACTGGCTTAAGTAGTGGCTGTTTACATAAAGTTAAGACAGAACAGGGGGTTCATAGCCACAACTCTTTCAGGCTAATCTCCCTCAAAGGGTGAGACCAAGTGGCAACCGCTGAGGAGCAAATGATGAAGCCAATGACAAACTGCAGTTCCTTGAATAGCCACTTGAGGCCGACTCCTAAAGTGAGTTAATCCCGATAGACCTCCATGTTAGAATGTCCAACTTCACAGGAGAAATGATCATGTTTATAGCCTGGTTTAAAAAAAAAAAAAGTCTGTGTTGCTAATTTTAACTGTGTAGAGGTACATTTTTATATAACTCACAATTTAAATTGTATCAAGGCTTAAAGGTAACCATAATGAAGGGCGTCATGACCACTTTGAGTGACAGGTCGGTGCCGTTATAGGCAGTCCATGGCTCAGAGACATTTGCAAGGCCCGTCTCTGCTCCACTGGCTTTCCAACTTTTGTTAAGTTTCTGAATTAGTGGGTTAGGAAGAGTCAGACACTGCCTGGTGATAATGTGGTCCAGCTTAAGGTGTCTAGTAATGGGAGCTTCATTCACTGAGAAACAGTTCAGGACGCTTTGTGTCTTTTCTGTGTTATGACTGTGACGTTCTGTAGTTGTAAGAGTAGTGTTAAAGAAAACTTGGCCATTTTGTGAAGTATGCTTCTTCAGTTTCTCTGTTGTTGCTGAACCAGCAGCTGGTTAGCGTAGCTCACAAGACAGGAAACGGACGGGAACACCGTGCGAGGCTTTCTTCATGCATCTCTAAGTTCACTGACTGTTGAACACATTGGGTGCACTCCGGTGCTTGGAGTCTCTCACGCAGGGTGCTGTGGATGAAAACGTATCCACTGGTGGATATATTTTTTTTCCTTCCACAGTTTCTCCCACCTTTTACAGCCCTTGTTTATATTCAGTGTTGACACCCTAGGCATCATGTATTCATCTCATTTCTGTGCTCCTGGGTCAGGTGAGCGGGTCATGCAGCCTCAGATCCTGGAGTTGAACTTCAGCCCGGACTGCGCCCGGGCCTGCCTCTACCACCCCTCCTTCTACAACCACATGTTTCAGACGCTGTTCCTGGATCAGCCCGAGGACTGTCCAGTCACACAGATCGTATGATGAACCCAGCAGCACTTTTATATCGAGAGACGTTCAGCTGCCTTTTTGGTCAGTACTTGACTAGTTTTTCTGTTTCTTCGTGTCATTTTGCCGTCTACTTTACGCTGTAGGAGGATTATGACTTTTCTCATCATTCCGCTTGTTCTCAGAATTGCAAGTGATTCAGACAAAACACTTCTGTACAAAAGAGCAACAATAAAAACACTGTGGGACAAACAACATTGTGCTGCTTGTTTCCATTCTGACAGTGCTACGAAGCTTCAGTGTGCAGTCACCTCTGCCCACCTTCCTGTTCCTTCACCACCTGCTGTCGCTTATAGATTAAACTCTAAGGCCCGGTTTCCCACACAGGGATTAAGCCCTAGTTCTAGATTAAGTCACATTGTACACCAGGATTTGCTGAAATGGCTTTCTGAGACATGGATTAAAATCATCTCAGAGTTGTCCTAGTCTTGAGTTAAATAATCTCCTTTCTTGAAGAGAGACTAGAGCTATCCAGGTCTAACTCAAGATTTAAGTTAAACCTGACCAGAGGCAGGTTTCACCTCAGAGTAAAGGCTGTATGCCTCATGGTGCATGGTGGAAATGGATTAGCTTGACTACATCAATGATGCTGAAAGACCACCACCAAGACCAGAGAGAAGATTGCTCAGAGACAGAAGTAACCTGCTGAATGAATTTGTTGATACAGATTTTTGTGACTGTCTTCGTATGTACAAACACAATGCAGCTGAAATCTTTGGTTTGCTTCAGGTGAAGCTTTCATGTGACTCAGTGAGGGGAACCTCTATACTTCCTTCCTTACAAGTACTTATCACTTTGAGGTTTTTGGCATGTGGAACCTTCCATCGTGAAACAGCGGATTTCTGTGGTGTGAGTGAATCCACTGTCTGCAAAATAGTGCACAAAGTCTGCAAAGCAATCTGTGAACTGAGAAAGGACGACATCAAGTTCCCTGATGCTGCTGATCAGACCACCTACAAGGTACAGTTCTATGAATATGGGAACATCCCTGGAGTAGTTGGCTGTATTGATGGATGTCATATTCCTGTTAAGTGTCCTTCAACAGAAGATANGGCAGGTTTCACCTCAGAGTAAAGGCTGTAGGCCTCATGGTGCATGGTGGAAATGGATTAGCTTGACTACATCAATGATGCTGAAAGACCACCACCAAGACCAGAGAGAAGATTGCTCAGAGACAGAAGTAACCTGCTGAATAAATTTGTTGATACAGATTTTTGTGACTGTTTCCGTACAAACACAATGCAGCTGAAATCTTTAGTTTGCTTCAGGTGAAGCTTTCATGTGACTCAGTGAGGGGAACCTCTGTACCTCCTTCCTTACAAGTACTTATCACTTTGAGGTTTTTGGCATGTGGAACCTTCCATCGTGAAACAGCGGATTTCTGTGGTGTAAGTGAATCCACTGTCTGCAAAATAGTGCACAAAGTCTGCAAAGCAGTATGTGAACTGAGAAAGGACTCCATCAAGTTCCCTGATGCTGTTGATCAGACCACCTACAAGGTACAGTTCTATGAATATGGGAACATCCCTGGAGTAGTTGGCTGTATTGATGGATGTCATATTCCTGTTAAGTGTCCTTCAACAGAAGATACTGAGCTGTACAGGAATCTTAAAAACTGGTTTTCAGTAAATGTACCAGGTGTCTGCACTCCCACAATGCAGCTCTCCAACATTGTTGCACGTTGGAGCGGTTCAACACATGACTCAAGGATTTTCCAGAACTCCTCTTTGTGTGCTCCAAATACTCTATTTTACTCTCAACTTAGAATAACCATTAAGAACCTTTAAAAAGATATTATGCACACAATAATCTAACTTTTCACCACCTTCGGATACTGAAAGTGATTCAATAAAATTTTAGTCAATATTGTCTTTAAATGCAGGATTATATATTTATTGCAACTCTTTAGCATGGGCAAAGCATCAGCATTTTGATTATTCACACATAATTAATCATTCGTTTTAATAAAACTTGATTAGCCTAAAAATAATAATAAAATAATCTGTGCTCCTTTAAACTATAATAAATGATTAAAATTCTTAATTTGTAAAGAGAGAGAGAGCCTAACAGCCTGGCCAGTGCTGATCAACTCAGCTCCGTCCTATCCTGAACTAAGAGAGACACCCTACCAGCCGAGCAGCTACCCTGTACAGGGCACCGAAGTGCAGGCGACGTCCACCAGTCAGGGGGAGACGAGGATTCGCAACTCTGATTTAGAACTGCAGTCTGTTTGGATCTTCATTGGACGATGAGGTGAAGATGCTTCTTCTGGCAGAACACACAAAAGGGTTCTGCCGCTCCTCTTCAGTTGTGTTGCAGTCTTGTTGCAGCTCCTTCCTCGCGCACACAGTCAACTGAGAAAAGTTCTAAGAACTCTAAGTGTTCCTGATCCGTCTCTCAGTCTCCCGTGCAGGTTGACGTCCAGCTGAGCTCTCTGTCATCCCCGGGCGATCTCCGACAGATATCTCTCTGTCAGTGTCTTTTATACTTTTTCTACGGCTCTCTCTCCCATAAACACTATGCTTGATTACTAATAATACACACTCACTGATACACACCATTAGTACACATAAAATACACTCATACATTGTCACACACATAGTCATAAGGTGTTGCACTTTTCAGTGCAACACACCAACTCCATTTATGGTGACCGGAACGAGCATAGTTTGGCAGGCACAGGAAGTCTAATAGCCCTCTGTTATGAAAAGAGGATCCTCCGTTTATTAAAAAGAGGATCATGGCTACTTTAGCATTGAGCTCAGCTTGCTAACTTCCGGTGGCTCAACAGCTCATCACGAGTTATCCTGCCTCACCCTGCTCTTAAGAACACTATTCTCATACACACATCTGCCCCTGCACTCGAGCTCTGGAAACTACCTAACTTTCCCTAACTCATACTAATGGAATTTATCAGCTTAACTTTAACACTACTGATTGTCTGATTATACGAGGTTCATTTAAGAATCATTACTTAAAACATTCAATCGTCACATTTGCAGTACAGCATATAATGTTTCAAATCATTAAAGTCTTTTATATTGCTTACAGCAGAGCCAGAGTTCTTTGTTAGTGGCTGTGTCTGGGATCTCAAAACCTGACTCCACTTGACAACACCAGTAATACACACTAGTTACACACATTCATCATCACACACACATTGCTAATAGATGTTTCACNCAAGGTACAGTTCTATGAATATGGGAACATCCCTGGAGTAGTTGGCTGTATTGATGGATGTCATATTCCTGTTAAGTGTCCTTCAACAGAAGATATTGAGCTGTACAGGAATCTTAAAAACCGGTTTTCAGTAAATGTACCAGGTGTCTGCACTCCCTCTATGCAGCTCTCCAACATTGTTGCACATTGGAGCTGTTCAACACGTGACTCAAGGATTTTCCAGAACTCCTCTTTGTGTGCTCAGTTTGAAGCAGGACAGCACAGTGGAATCCTACTTGGTGACAGTGGTGATGCACAGACAAACTTCTTGTTCACCTCTTATTTTCATCCTGTCAGACCTGAGCAACAGCGCTACAACCAGGCTCATATCCACATCAGAGGGTTAGTAAAGCGCATGTTTGGTATCTGGAAGAATCGTTTCCATTGTCTCAGGAATACATTACGTTTTGAACCAAGAAGATGCTGTATTGTCACTGTGGCAACGGCAGTGCTTCATAACTACCTGAGACAACATGGCTCCCCAGACCCACCGACTGAATATTGCAATGGGCCACATGTTCCCACAGCAGAAGTAGCCAATAGCAAAACTGGACACACAGAGACGCCTTTGCTTTGCAGCACAGAAAAAAAATAAAGTGTGGAGTGTGTTGGAGAAGATTCTCTTTTCTCCGCGTGTTCGTTTGTAAAGACGAAACAAATTAAGCGCGGTCTCAATCAATCAATTTAATCACACACTGAATATGACATTACAGAGCTGCGGGTCAAACTCTCCCTAGTATCAGACAGAGTGAGACTCAGACCTTTTCCTCAGACCCTTGTCTTATACTATTCAGTCACATGACAGGTTACACAATGTGTCACACAAGCTGTTCCACATCTTCCTCTGATCTGTCCATTTATTTTTTGTTCCTTTATTCCTTTGATCCTTTGTTTCTTCGCTGGAATGTATGCCCCTTTATCTTTACAGCCTGTCTTCCCCACATCCACAGCTCATCCTGGTTATCGATTATCAGCTTATTGGCAGTCACACACTCATCACAGAACCCTGTCCTGCAGAACAACATCACTTACAAGCACACGACTCTTTAAGAATCAACATTATAATGGGTAACATATAATGAATAAACCCTCAAGATTAATTATTCTTATTCTTTAAACTTAAATGATTATATATGTTTTGAGTAATATATCATTTACACAACAATATGTCACTCAGATGGGACACTTTGTCAGATTCTTTTGTGACTCTGCTCCTGATGCTCTGGAACAATCTGAGCAAGCATGACACAGATAATCCCTGAGATCACAAACCCCCACAGAGCCATGAATTTACAGTTTACAATTTTTCGAATACGGTATGAACAGGAGAACAGGAGTACAACTAAATAGTCTTCACTTACAGAATCTAGATTACATAGTTCAAGGTACAACAATGAACCATCTGCAACCTACAATCCTACAATATGGGAAACACCGGGGTTATATGAGATTGAACCGTTTTTAAAAGGTGGTGGTTGGGGAGGAGGAGGAGATGCGTCAATCTGTAGAGGCTGGAGCAGCAGCGATGTGGTGAGCGTGAAGCGGGCAGAATGAATGAACGCTGCCTCAGTTATAAAGCACGCTAAGTGGGTTGTCTTTCCGCACCGGTACTACCCCGTACAGGGCTACTGGTCCAGCTCTCCGTTACTAGGGCTAAGTTCTGACTGCCTACAGGCCCTGGACCTAATAGGATTCTATTGAACTGATTAAGCTGGTGTCGAGGAAACTCGCCTAGCTTCTGACTGCCTTAATCCAGACGCCTACCCCGCTTCTTCTGATAGGTGACCCCGCTAAGTAGCCTCAATAGCCGAATCACCCACCAGACACGCCTGGTAGTGGCAGCTTTCCTCTTAAGGGAACGAGCACTTGGTAAGTTGCTAGGATAGATTTAGAGGTTTGGCAATACTAACCCCAGGGATATGTTTAAATACTCTATTTTACTCTTGACTTAGAAT